TTCAAGATCAACGTAAATATTCAACACATGCAGAGATTAAAATGAGCATACATATAGGTTTCTAGCTGCAATGGTATCTTCATAATTAACAAACTTTGGCATTTGAAAAATGACAGATGAAAAAATAACGTCTTAGAAAATTGCTTTTATTTTTGTTAATCACTTGCTCCCAGATTAATTTTGTATATGAATGTTGATCTAAAATGTACAAAGATTAAAATGAGCGTAAATACATGTTTGTAGCTACTATGATTTAGTCACAATTAATTACCAAACTTTGGTATTTTACAGATGACAGTTTGGAAAATAACTTCTTCGAAAATGACCTGCATTTTCGGAGACACTTGTTCCCAGAAGAATTTTCAATACGAATATTGTTCTTGAATATACATAGATTAAAATGAGTTTAAATGTAGATTGATAGCTATATAAAAAAAGCTTTTATTCTTTATCAAGAGATTTGATAAAAATTTAAATTTTTGATATTTCAGTATTCAATGGGGGGGAGGGCTTGTGTTGTGTTGTCTTAACAATTAACCAAAACTAACGTATTTTATAGCAAACGAAAGCAAAAGTATTAATAACTTAAGATTAGTTCAAGCATTATTTAAACTTATTTATTAATTTAAATTAGTATGTTTGCAAGGAAGTAGATTTTGTACAGCGCCAAAATGCCCGAACTACAACCTTTGACATATTGCAAACAGATGGCGTCAGCTGTCACAAAAGATGGAATATTCATTCTACGCCTAAAGAGCAGGCAACCAATCATACATTTTGTGATTAAGTAGGAAAATAGTTTTTGAAAATAGCCTGTATTTTCGTATACACCAGCTCCCAGAAGAATGTTGAATATGTACGTTGATCTTGAACATGCAGAGATTAAAATGAGCGTACATATAGGTTTCTAGCGGCAATGGTTTCTTCATAATAAACAAACTTTGGCATTTGAAATATGACAGATGAAAAAATAACGTCTTAGAAAATTGCTTTTATTTTTGTTAATCACTTGCTCCCAGAATAATTTTGTATATGAATGTTGATCTAGAATATACAAAGATTGAAATAAGCGTAAATACATGTTTATAGCAACTATGATTTGGTCACAATTAATTATTAAACTTTGGTATTTTACAGATGACAGTTTGAAAAATAACTTCTTCCAAAATGACCTTTATTTTCGGAGACACTTGTTCCCAGAAGAATTTTCAATATGAATATTGTTCTTGAATATACATAGATTAAAATGAGTGTAAATGTAGATTGATAGCTATATAAAAAAGGCGTTTATTCTCTATCAAGAGATTTGATAAAAAATTAAATTTTTGATATATCAGTATTCAATGACTTGTGTTGTGATTCGCGAAAACCGCCAACACATTAAAGCTTAATAACTTTCTTAATAATTAACCAAAACTAACGTATTTTATAGCAAATGAAAGCAAAAGAATTATTCTTTAAAACAGTAAATTCAGATTTTTAAAGAAATGTTAAATTGTCCATTTATTTAGTGATTTGGTGCAAAAACTTAATTGTTTGCAATGATTACATACGAAAACATCTAGCTTTCATTTGGATCCAATTAGTCTTCCAGAAAATGAGCTCACAACATCTTCCTTCGTACTCTTAGCACAGAAAGAACCGTGCTCTCAAATTAAAGCCGAAAGATGAACCTTTCCAAATAATTTAGAATTTTGAAATATCTTCATATAGATGCTCGGAAAAAAGATTCTTTTAATTTATTCCTGCAGTTCAAAATCGCGTTTGTTTTATAGAAAAAAAAATCTGAATTGAAGTTTTAAATGTTAATTATCCGTTCGTTCCGTGTTGTTCATCGCCGCAGGGATGGAAAAAAACGGACCGTCGGAAAAATCCGTTTTATGCGTACATTTTCCAGCCGCACGATTAATAAAACTAATGAACTATTCATGACGTTAAAACTTCGTTTGCATATTTTCCAGCGCACTTTGCGATTGATCGGCGACAATTTTTTTTTGTTTAAAATATAATTTCCACGATGCGAAAACTTTAGGAAGAAACTGGAAAAATTCGTTATATAAACTAACAATAAAGTTTCGATTTGCATTTTATAAATAGAAATAAACAAATGATTAAATAAATTGATTCCATCACAGTGTGTGTGTATATTTCGCTTTTGTTATTTTTAGTTTTGTTTTGCTTTTTGACGGCGAATCCGAAGAGTAAATCAAATGGACAATAAATGAATAAATAATAGGAAATAAATACGTCGGTCTCCGAAATATATTTATATGTATATATATATAATGGCTGCAGAATGGCTGAATTCAACCGAAACAAAACAAGAACGAAAACAAAACACAACAGAAAAGAACAACGCTCGATCGAAGCCCGGCCGTTTCATTTGTTTTTATTCATGCATATATATATATATATAGAAATTTGCGGAATTTTCCATATGTCATTTAAAAGTATACTTCATTCAGCTGAAATAGTTATTTATTCATAATAAAAATATTAATAATTCACTGTTTTGTTGCTGCTGCTACGTTTGTTATTATTAAAGTTATTATTCCACATGTTGCATTGTTCATGCATACGTCTGCTTTCATAGGCATTCATTAATTATTTTATTTTAAAAAAAAATATGTTTCAAATCTATCGAAATTCCGAATCGTTACAATGTATTTAGATTAATAATCAATGTTATGGCTCAATCAGAGTATTTATTTAGAAATGTACGTCTAAAGACATATATTTTCTGTTAATATGATCAGTTTCAGATGCATAATTTGTGAAGGAAATCGTAGAAACTTCTTTTAAATTAAATCACGTAAAAGAAGTTGCCTATAATACAATCATACACTTTTTACAAAATTATATATAAATTAGCTAAGTGTAATAAGTAAAGTTAAAAACACTTGAATCTTATATAATTTTTTTTATTATTTACAAAGCAATCTATTTACAATAAAAAGAAAAAAAAACAGATAACATGCTCTAGTTCTGGGCTTAATAGTGAGAAAAAGCTAAAAATATGTATTGAAGATCAAACTCCACAGAGTGCTCATTAATAAAAAATGTATGCATTTTATTTAAAAAAAAAATGCAACTTTCCTTCATTTATATTTGTAACTAATTAATTTCAATACTGTAATCAAGCATAGTTTTTAAACTACAGTTAAGTTTAATTGATTGTGTAACAGATTGATTTATTTGTGTTTTTGCTGAAGAGATAACAGACAATTGGAAGAGAGTAATTGCTGAAAGAAAAAATGTTAAGAATTAGGAGAGAGGAATGTAATAAGCTATATATATATATTACGACGTTCATTCAGAGTTTTTTTTATTAATTCTTGGTTTTGTGTGTTTATATAGAAATGTTGTGGTTTAACGAGAAAAGCAGAACGGCTTTTTTGCAGTTTTAAGAATTGCATTTTCAGTCGTATTTTATTGAAATTCTTATATGGAGTGGTACGTGTCTAATGTATAT